GACAGTGGAGAGAAGGGGGGGGGGGGAAACCAGCCTGCACACACGTGTGCAAAGCGATTAGCGACTAGGTTTCAAATCACGAACTTCATCGCTGCTTATGACAAAATATCACATTTCCCAACTATGACTTTTGAACATAAACATAATACAATAATTTACCGTGTCTGTGCACGGGAAAACTTTTAGCATCTCCATCAAGTGTGTCTGTTAGCTTATCTAGCCAACCAACCTAGCTATGGAGCTAACAAAGTTAACACAGCATTTCAGTTTAAGCACATAACATCTTAATGACACGAATGTCTCTTTGTTAAAGTATGAATATCAAAACCAACACTCCTAACTCAACTGGTCTGCTTTCCTATGCATTTCGAACAAGATGGCGAAGTAGTTCACCATGATAGTTAATTAATTCACAACTCACCAGGATATCTTCAAATAAAAATCAGAATTTCCAAAGAAATCTGGAGAAAAACCTCGTAGTGTCCGTGTATGGCTGTGTAGTGATGTTCGGCGTGTAATCTAAAGTTAACGTCTCCTCGCTTTTTTTCCCCGGGGTGACTCTAGCATGTGAAAAAAACGGAAAACAAAAAAAAGTCTCTTCTCTCTTGCGAAAGTACTTAGGGAGTGTCTGCAAATAACCCACCACTACTAATGCGTTTAGGGAGTATCCACTATGGGTGAATGAACGAAAAATCAAAGTTTGAGTATAATAGAATAAGAATCAATTTGCGATGCAGTAATTCCATAGGGGTTACACAGACATGCAGCTGTACCGGACATACAAAAAAGCATTCATACGTGAAACGTGAAACGAAATTCAAACTGGACAGCAGTGTTGCCAGATCCAGCAAAAATCTCCAGCCTAAGGTCTGAGAAGCTGACACTAGCCCAATACAGTGGTACCTCGGTTCTCGAACTTAATCCTTTCCGGACTCCGGATCGAATCCTAAAAAGTTCGAGTTCTGATCGAATTTTTCCCATAAGAAATAATGGAAAACCAATTAATTGGTTCCCAGCCCCCCAAAATTACACCTAAATATGTTTTTTTTTTTTTTTAGCATTTAAACACGAAATGAACAGGATAAAACAAGAAGAGCATTTTTTTCTTAATGGCTTCCAAAACGATAAAGATCTTATTCCAACATTACCCCTGTCCTGCCCCGATCGTCTGCTCCTTCTGTGTGCCACGCCCCCTCGTTAACCTCGTGTGGGATCCCCATGTGATCAGCTGTTTCTGGTTGTTGTCATTAGTCCGCGTTTCAGTTTGTTTCCCCAGTCCGGTCATTGTGCGCATTCGGCTTGCTTACAGCGCTGGCTTATCGCAAGGCATTCTGATCCTGACGCAATGCATTACGGTTAGATGCATTGCAACCTCTCACCCGGCTGCACAAACTGGAACCGCCTCCGTGACGACACACTTTTGCCCTTATTGGCTGACGAGTTTAGTTACACGGATGACGTTTGTATCCCAGACAGTTCCGATGCGTAATCTGCTATTTCTCCCGAATATCACGTAAAGCTTTGGAATTGGTTTTCAGTTAATTTACCTGTTAAAATAAAGTTTAAATAAATTACATAAATGCTCTAATAGTACACGTAAGTTAGTGGTTTATTTTTTGTTAGTTACTGTAATGTTGCGCTGCTTTATTTGGTTAATCGTCCAGTCTGTGAAGAAGGCATTCAAGTAAGAATTGCATTGTAGTATGACTCATTTCCTGGCGCGTACAATTTATATTAGGTCAGCGTTCACGGTTCGACTTCTGATATTCAGGTCGAGTTCTAGGTCAAACTGGTTTGTTCGATTTTCAAGAAATTCGAGTTCTAGTGAGTTCGAGAACCGAGGTACCACTGTATTTGAAATCCTAGTATACTGTATCTCAGAGAAATACACCAGTATTTTGCATGCTGATCATATTCAAATGTTCAACATTTTAAAACCACAGTTATACACAATGACGTCATGTAGACTAACGCACTTTGGTCAGCTGGCTGGAGTGAGACTTTCAATTCCAGACTAGTTTGCACACGCATTTATATGTATGTAACAGTTGTATCATCTTGTAAATAGTCTGTAGGGCTTGCAAACTACCCCCAACGCTTCCGATGAACCTAATTTTAGGTTTCTTACGTGAGCGTAAGATTTCTTGCGTGAGCGTGAGAATTTTGCAACCCGGCTTTCCGTGTGCATCTGTCCGAGTTTCAGTGGTTGGCGATTCAGGTATTCCTCAGGATTAGGAGTCACTTGCATTTATAATTATTAATTTCATTTTCCCCCTACAGTCCGCTGCCACGGAACATTATGAAAGCAGCCCAAAAACCGGCAATCCGCGATCTCCTAGTATTTACCCCTAACTGTATTTTCAAAATAGCCCAATTGGCCGGGAAACCCGCCGACCTGGCAACTCTCCTGTACAGTTTACATGGACGCGCATAGCTTCTCCTGCTCGCTCCAGAACACAAATAAATAAAGATGTATGTATTGGTTGAAATATTATGGGTTGCCAATTCACACTTTCATACCTTTTTTGCAAAAAAAAAAAAAAAAAAGCTCTTACTTTCTCATGCGCACGAGATACTTTTGCGCGCCCATGAGATCACGCAAGAAATCTTGCAGCAAATCTAATTTTATTCCATTATAAACCTAAAATTAGCTGTATCCAAAGCATTGGGGAAGTTTGCGGATCCTGTATGTGTGTACAGACTTATCTCGACTTGAATATCTCACTTGAGCCGGCTGACCAAAGTTGGCAATTCTTAATATTGATTCTTTCGATCTTAATGTTTCATTCTGAGGATCGGTTCCATCGTTAAAGTAATACGTTATTTATTGTGATTTATTATTTTTAATGTTAAATTAAAATAATACGATCAACCCCCTCCCCGCTCGGCAAACTTAATTTGCCGGCAGTATCGATTTTGGTATTGGTATCGGGACACCAACCTTAGTATTACTTGGCTCGCAAAGAAAATCAGTGTTTCGACAAACCTGCCGAGCTGAAATGAGACGTGAACGCGCAGACGCCCTCGTGCGCCGGCCCAAGGTCCGCAATGCCCCAGCTGTGTTCGAAATGACCTCTTCTGTGAGCCGAAAAACTGTCGAATAAGCCCACACGTATGACACATGCCGCATTCGTGACTTGGAGGGGATGCGTCAAAAGTTGCTAAATAAAGTATTAGCAAGATGAAATAGTTAGAGTGAGCTGTTTTATGTGCTGCTAATTATTCATATAAAAATGTAAAAACTGACCGGTCACAGATGGATAGATTACAAAGGTAGCAGTTCATCTAGTCTAGTTAGATGTGTGGAGAAATATAGAAAAGTATTTTTAGCAAATTAATTAAATTAGGGGCAAGTATGCAGGTTCCATCCAGCAGAATTTTTAAAGTTGTTTTTTTGTTTTGGCTTTGCTTTGTTCCTATTTCGTTCGGTCTGATCATTTGTGAGACAGATAGAGTGATACGGAGTCACTCAGAAATCGTTTAGCTGTCATGTTTCGGCTGTTGTCTTCGCAGTGGTTGAATTAGGTGTTGTGATGGTCATTACTGTAATGGGGTGATTTCACCGGTGCTCTCTCTGTCCCTGCCAGTACCCTGGCCACATGCACGAGATCATCCTCTTTGTGATCACCTGGGTGGGAATCGTCATCTCCCTGGTGTGCCTGGCCATCTGCATCTCCACCTTCTGTTGCCTGCGAGGCATGCAGACTGACCGCAACACCATCCACAAGAACCTCTGCATCAACCTCTTCATCGCTGAGCTCCTGTTCCTAATCGGCATCGACAAGACGCAGTACCACGTGAGTTTGTCGGTGTCCAGCCCTGCGTGTTACGTATATAACCCTCCCCAGAAGATTGTGGGTTCAAATCCCTTGGCCAGCGTATAGTCACTGTTGGGCTCTTGATAATGGCCCATAAGTAGCTGTTCTAGCGGTGCTGGGTGACCCTGCTCTCTGACCTCAAGCTTCCTTCACTTCACATCACTTTGGGCAAAAGCGTCTGCCGAAGAAATAGAAATGTAAAAGAAATTTCCCTCACCGAGAGACTATGGAATCCAGACCAAAGTAGCCGAGCGCAGCATAATGCTACACGGCCCAGACCACTTTAAACGAGTGCAGAGATGAAGGTACCAGTTCACAGAGCAGCGTCCAACAATGATGATGTAATTACAGGGATTGCATATCATTTCCTTGCTCCTTTCCTGTTTTGTTGCCCCCCCTCCCCCCGCATGCAGATCGCTTGCCCCATCTTCGCCGGACTCCTGCACTTCTTCTTCCTGGCTGCCTTCTCCTGGATGTGCCTGGAAGGCGTCCAGCTGTACCTGATGCTGGTGGAGGTCTTCGAGGGCGAGTGCTCCCGCAAGAAGTACTACTACCTGTGTGGCTACTGCTTCCCCGCGCTGGTGGTGGGCATCTCAGCGGCCATCGACTACCGCAGCTACGGCACCAAAAAGGCGTGCGTACCCCGCCGCATTCTCCCAGGCGCCCTCCCGCGCATGTGTGACCCTGTGACTGATCACATGACGTCAACCCCAAACAGGTGCTGGCTGCGTGTGGATAACTACTTTATCTGGAGCTTCATTGGGCCGGTCTCTTTCGTTATTGTGGTGAGTCTCTTGATCTATCAGTTATGAGTTTTACCGTGTTTTACTTGAACCAGCTTAAGAGTCCTCATCTTTAGCTACGGCGCCACCTGCTGGTTAATGCCTGGTTTTCCCTCCGGCTCCAGCTGAACCTCATGTTCCTGCTGATCACCCTGCACAAGATGATCCGCAGCTCCTCGGCTCTCAAACCCGACTCCAGTCGCCTTGACAACATCAAGTGAGGCCCGGCATGCTGTCGGATGCACAGGGGATGCTGGGATACGCGGGGTTAAGGGAGGGGGAAGGATGGGGGGATGAGGATGAATGTGAGTGAGAGAAGGATGTGTAAAGGGCGAGGCGGTGAGGTAGGGGTAGTGAACGGGGAAAACGGACGACTCAGGAAGCGTGTTAGAAGATGACGGTGTCTGCCGACAGGTCCTGGGCTCTGGGTGCCATTGCCTTGCTCTTCCTCCTGGGCCTGACCTGGGCGTTTGGTCTCCTCTTCATCAATGAGAACACGGTCATCATGGCCTACCTCTTCACCACCTTCAACGCCTTCCAGGGCATGTTCATCTTCATCTTCCACTGCGCCCTGCAGAAGAAGGTCACTATCTGTCTGTCTGTGTGTGTGTGTGCATGTGTGTGTGTGTGTGTGTGTGTGTGTGCGCGCACACATGACCTCCTGTGTCTGTCCTCAGGTCCATAAGGAGTACAGTAAGTGTCTCCGCCACTCTTACTGCTGCAGCCGCTCTTCCACCACCAGCTCCCACAGCTCCCTGAAGACCTCAGCGCTGCGAGCCAACAACCGCTACTACACGGGCAACCAGGCGCGGCACGCCTCCGCCAGCAGGCAGGTGAGGGCGCCCCCTGGAGGCGCGCGGGGATGCAGCCCGTCTCCTCTGCTGATAGACACGTTAGCCCGAGCTTGGTTGCAGCTCTCCTCACTTATTTATCTTCCCCGACTGTTTCTGTCTGCGTTTACTTCGCTTCCTGTAACTGTCCACTCTTCATTATTAATGTGGTCGTAAAACAAAATGTTTCATCTATAATGCTTTACAATATATAAATAATAACTGATCACACCTGACATATGCAGTCATGCCTGTCCATAAACACACATTGCCATGTGAGGAATTAGAATGCTCTGTGATGGTTTGCGAGGGCTTTAAGAGGGCTGTTAAGCTGTGACAGACAGGCGTTTGACGTGTGCGATGTGTAACGCCTCCTTGCACGCACTCCCAGGCTTTGTGGCCTCTTTGTGCTCAGCAGGCCGCTCCGGGCCAGCCGTCCTCGTGTGACAGGCCTTTCCGAATGACGAACGGGCTCCATCCGCCTCTTTGTCTCCCCGCGATGGCCCCGGCTGTGCGCCGCCCCTGTGATTGACAAGGGCCCCGTTCGGGCCCCGTGCCTCTCTCTGCCCCCAGAGTCGCATACGCAGGATGTGGAACGACACGGTCCGCAAGCAGACGGAGTCCTCTTTCATGGCGGGGGACATAAACAGCACCCCCACGCTGAACCGCGGTGAGTCTGCGTCCCACTGCATGACAAGGATGAGCCAGGGAAGCTTTACGTGAAGCGTCCGACCTCCCGCGTCTGCGAGATACTCGCAATTCTGTCTGTCTCTCCATCTCTGTCCTCCGCTGCCTTTCCCTAGCTCGCGTTCTCTCCCTCCCTCCATCATAAATGTCCCCAAATTCAATGAAAAGGCAGTAATGGAAATGCTCCCGGCTACCACCCTGATCATCATCATCATCATCACAATGAAAAGGCAGTAATGGAAATGCTCCCGGCTACCACCCTGATCATCATCATCATCATCATCATGATCATCATCATGGTCATCGTCCTCCCTGCCACGATGCCGGTAATTGTTGGGATCTGGGGCTTCATTGCGGCAGACGTAGCTGCGTGTTAAATCACCCAGCGCGTTCTGGACCTCCGTCCCACGTTTTCACTGTTAATGAACTAATTATTGTGTGGGCTAGTAGGAGGCAATTAGCGTAATTGCAGCGAGCGACAGTGGCATGTGATGGGATGAGCTGATAGCCGGTTTCAGGGGATTTAATAAGGGGGCCGGGCCCAGGATGGGGGCGTTAATGAAAATTGAGGGATTTAACAAAGAAAAAAACAGTAGAAAGACAAACAGGCTTGTTGAAAATAAAATCTTTTCTTTTGTTCTTCATTGGCCGAGGGAGAACAGCTGCGGAGAGACGCGCACAAAGCGATTTCACGGTGAAGCAGAATAATTAAATCGGACATTATCTCGGAGAGAAGAGCCGGCGTTATCAATCAAACAGCCTCTCATCTCTTCCAGTTTGCCTCTTCGCATTTTCCATGAACCGTTCTTCCCCCATGATGGGGATCGGCCCGGATTCACTGGCGCGGCGCGAGTCGGTGCCTCTCCCGCTCTCCCTTCGTATGGGGTCCTTTAGATTGCGTGCGATGCCCGCGTGAGATCGTATCTCCTGCTGAAGCCAAGGTGCTCTTGCCGTCTGTTTGAAGCCCTCGCAGGTGCCTGCTTTCTCACCGTCTGCTTCCCCTGTGGCTTCACCGTTTACCCACTAAGCTTTTTGAGCGTGGGTATCGACAAAAACGTAGCTCTGGCCTCCTCACCGAGCGTTTTCCTGGATGAACCTTTCTGAACCTGTGAGATGTTTGTTAACGCTCCCCCTCGACTCGCTTTCCGCTTCCCATCCCTCTCCTCCCCCCGCCTTTCTCCAGCGACCATGGGCAACCACCTCCTGACCAATCCGGTGCTGCAGACTCGCTCTGGCACCTCCCCCTACAACACTCTACTGGCCGAGAGCTTCAACCCGCCCTCGCCCGGCGTCTTCAACTCCACTGGTCAGCCCGCCTGCTCGTCTCTCCGCCTGCCCAATCGTTTGGCTGCGTGTCTCCTGCAGTGTGGGTCACGTTCCGGCGTGCGCGTCTCCATGTGTCACCCGCAGCTGCATGCCCCTGATTCGCGACGTTATATGTGTGTGTGTGTGCTTCTCTTAGTAAGGGTGAGTGTGTCTGAGTGTCAGCAGTATGTAGAGGGTAGCATGAGACCCTGGGTCTGTTTTTTGAAGACTAGAACAGCAGCCGTGTCCCCTGCTGGGGGGGGCGAGGTGGGGGGTGGATTTCAGATGCTATTTCTGTTGAATAATTGAAAGAGCTTCGACATAATGCATCAGCACGATGAGCCCAACGCTTCTAAGTGACACATTTTTACAGGAAGCAGGAGGTCGACTTCATTAGAATGTCTAATTGCTCTCGTCACGGGTGATGAATGTTGATTAAAATCGTATTAGGCATTAAAATTTAAATCAGCATACTTTTCATTCCCGGTTTGATGCTCTTTGCTAATCCGTCTATAGTCATTTAAAAAAAAAAAAAAAGCAGGATTTTTTATTTTAGAGGCGCTGTGCCGTCAAGGCTGACAGACGCGTAGGAGACAGCTGTGTTTGTCGAGGGGGCCGATCCATGCCCCCCCGCCGTTTTCTGCACATGTGGTTGTCGGCGACGGGCACGCGTGCATGTACGTGTAACGCCAGCGCGCTATTTTCCGTCATGTGTCGGCGGAGTGTACAGTTTACAGCTGTCGGGACCTCTGAGACTCTGAGGGAGGGAGGGAGTGAGCAAGAGAGGGAGGGAGATGGCGCAGGAAGGTGTCAGACAGACTGTGACAGCCTGAGAGAGAGTGAGAGTGTCAGAGAAGGAGTGAGAGAGAGAGAGCAAGCGACCAGCCTGCCCCATCATTCATGTTTCTTTTCTCCTTTTTTTCACTCCTCTCTGTGGACCAGGGACCTTCCGAGACCCAAGTAAGAGTTTCCGTTTGTTTATTTAACCAAGAATCGCCATATCGGCTGACTGTCAGACCTAAGAGCCGCTCTTGTCCCGTCTCCCCCTCTAGAGGGCACTCTCTCCAAGAGCCGGGACTCCTGTGGCATGGAGACCCTACCGCTCAACGGGAACTTTAACAACAGCTACTCCCTACGCAGTATCGGCTCCGGGGACTTTCTAGGGGGCGGGGTCGGGGGCTCGGACAGCTCTCCCCCGCTCCTGCACGCCAGGGGCTCGGAGACCCTCGGTGGATGCAGCATCCGACGGAACCTGTCCGACGCCGCCGCCTTCGAGAAGATGATCATTTCGGAGCTGGTGCACAACAACCTGCGAGGTGGCGGGGGCGGGGCCGGGGGCGGGGCTCAGGGGGAGCGGGCAGGCACTCTGGCGAGGGCCCGCGGAGGAGGGGCTTCACGGGGAGGTGCGGACGCGGGATCGGGGGAGGAGGAGCCCCTCCCTCCACGGGATGTGGAGCGGCTCTACAAAGCGCTGGAGGAGCCGCTGCTCCTGCAGCGTGCCCAGTCCGTGCTCTACCAAAGCGACCCCGACGAGTCCGAGAGCTACGCCGCCGACCTCACTGAGAGCCTGGAGGCCGACGGGGGCGGAGCTAGCAGCCGCTCGCCCGCCCTCCGGGACTCGCCCTACCCCGACAGCAGCCCCGAGCCCCTGGAAGTTGCGCCGCGTTCCGCACAGCCACCCGAGGAGCTCTACTACAGTTCGGGCCGGCCCGCACTGGGCCCCCGCGGCACTGCCATGCAGACCTTCTACCAGAGCACCCCCAGGAGGCCCAGCGGGGAGGGCTACCTGGCGCCTGCGCCAGCCGCGGAGCCCCCGCACAGTGAGGGCGACGGGCAGATGCAGCTGGTCACCAGCCTGTGACTCAGACGGTGGTGAGCGGAGTGGGGGGCCGGGACATCCTGATGGCCGGTGTCACGGCCACTCCCCCTATCTCGCTCATCCTCACTGCTTCCCGTTCATCGCCTCTCATCTCCGTTATCGTTTCTTAATTTTATCTGAAAGACATGCGAACAGACCCACGGCTACGCAGAATGATCCGCCTCGATTTTCATCCCTATTTCCTCCCTTCCTTCTGTCCTTACTTCCCTCCCTTTCCACAGTGCCCCTTCGTTGGACTGTTCTGCTCCCTTCTTCCTCACACCACAAGCGCCCCCTCCCCAAAGTCTACATGCATCCCTGTAGACGTCTGGACCCTCACCCATCATCAAATGCGGCTCCCTCCACCCTCCCCCCCCCCACTTTGTTCTGGGTCATCCTTGACCCTCCTCGCAAGCCTCCTCCTCAGTCCCACTGCAGTCTCCTCTGCTGTTTCGTTCCCCTTGCTCCACGAGGCCTGCGATGTGCCAACGTCACGCTTTGGGTGTTCCCAGAATGCTCTTCGGTGTTGCCAAAAAAAAAAATAATTCAATGCAAAATCTCCCCAGAAACCGAGAGCAGAGCAGCGGAGGAAGAGTGAGGAAGTACGGCGAAAGTTGCCTGAGAATGGGTCGGACGGTGGCACAGGGGAGAGGATGGCACGATTACCCACGATTATCCCTCTCCGTGCTCATGCCCTGTGCCAGACCGAATCCCCTCTAATGGGGAAAAGCGCCGTGATTGGGCAGTCAGTGGGGCGGGGGCAAAGTTCAGGGTTCATGGGGTGAAGAAACTCCAGCCAGGAGGGATGGAGAACTTTAAAGAAAGCTGCCTTTCTCCTTTTTATTATCCACTGTGGATACCTATAGAACATAAAGGAAACCCTTCCCATAATTCCTCTGCGGGGCAGATGAGGGGCTCCGCCCCCTCAGCCACGGCCAGGTCCTCCTCCAGGACACTTTCAGCTGAAGCTGGACACGATCCCTGAGTGCTGTTAAGGTGGGGGGGGGGGGTTTCTGATTGTTACAACTGATTAGTCCACCTATAACTCTAATCCATCGTTGTAAATAAGAACCAAATTAACAAAAGCAACAACGGAAGTAACTAAGATATGAAGATATACGACTAATTTCTTGTATTGCAACTTAACGACAAAAGAGAAAATAAAAAAAAAAACATTGTAGGAGTTTGTGACCCTGAATGACCCACTTTCTTTCTCTTTTCATTCTACTCCTCTCTCTGCTCGCTTTCACTCACTCACTCCCCAGTTCTCTAAGCCTACTAGGTAAGGCTACGTTTAAGAGGCACAGTGTTGGGGCCTGGGTGAATGAGGAGAGTGACAGATTTTAAATACAGATTTTAAACGTTTAAAATGAACAACAGAAACTTCCTGGCACAATTTTTAATGTGACGTTCCATGTTTTCTGCTGCAGCCACTGCGGGTGTTACAGGGGCTTTGCTGTGAAAGGGGGTATTCCTGTTGCTGCAGAAAAGAACTCGTGTTGGGAGACAGCAGCCATTTTGAAAAAATGGCTATATCTTTCTGGCGACATAAGTATCATAGACATAATCCGAATAGATTTGTTACACTTGTTGAGTGAGCTTCCTTAATGGAATTGAGCCTTATAGAATACATAGAATATATTGAATAGGAATTATTCTGTCAAATCATCTTCGTTAAATTCCACTGTATTTATATATCTGCCATAGGACTTGTTGTAATTCTAGAACGTCGGTTACTCGTCGCGTGCATCCTTTCAGGGAGCCATTTTGGATGTCAGGTCAAAGCATATCAGGAAAATAATTCGGATGATCTCGTACCTATATTTCTAAGCAAGGTGGTGTTGTGTAAACGGCGTTGGCTAGCGGCCATGTTGTTTTCCATTTCTCAAGTTCCAATGTGAGCCGGACGCGGTTTATTTTTCATGTCTGGCAATTTCCACTCAGCTGCTGGGAAAGGTGGGGGGCACGGGTGGGGGGCACGGGTGGGGTGCTGAGATTTGGCCTTCCAATGTGTTTTTTTTTTTTTTTGTTATACCGACAAAAGGAAAATGTAAAGCCCAGTCTGTGCTGAACATGAAACGGGCGTGCCTCCGGGTGTTCCGACATCTTTTTGCATGTTTATTCCTGCTGTGTGCTGAGTACCTTTCTGGCCTGTAATCTGGACCAACCTGGGATATACAAGGGATTTTTTTTTTTTTTTGGGATTTGTTCCTGCCTCAGAAAATGCACTTTTCCTGGGCGAGCTGTAAATTTGGAACGCTTTCACACCTCAGACCGAATGGAAGGGTACTTGGGGCGATGTGGGTGGGGGCGGGGGGCAGTCTCGCTCCTCACTTTGGGCTCCATGACTCTGTCACGGCATGTGTCACGCGTGTCTGAAGTGACTGAAAGTCACAGCCCGAGACAAAGTTGAATCCTGAGTTTCTGGCACCTTCCGCTCATCCAAAAAACCAAAGTTTTGTTCCAGCTCAGATCCGGAATGCAGTTCTGGTGTGGTGTGGTTCCGTGTTCAGGTGCCCATAAGGCAGCGGCTTCCCCAGCTGTTTAGCTGCCATACATCCAGAGAACGGAATGTAATCACAGGCGATCGCTGTCGGACGCCGAGAGCTGATGGGCTTTTATCGTGGCACATTTTGTTCTGGGCTTGCTGGTGCGTCCCCCACGCTCTGAAGTGCTCTGAAGTAGCGTGGCGCACGGTAACCGTGGTTACGCAGCCGCATTCAGCCTGTCCACCCAGCAGTCTCTGCCGCTGCGCTTTTCACTGGCCAGACCGGTGGCCGCGGAGGCCGCACCCCGTCAGACCGCGTTGTTCTCAAACGACGTATCTTTGTTCCCTTTTTCGGTTTGATGGCTTCTGCTTCAGTATCCAGGGTGGTTATTCTGGGACTTTTATTTAACTCTCACAATTTTGCACACATCTGTTCATAACGAGTTAAATTTGGGTCTTTTTGTTGCAGTTTCTGGCATGCGGATTCCAGCTTGCTGGTCTGATTCAATTCCGCTCTCCTCTTTTCCCGCGTTTCCCCGTTCCGCACCTTACCATCTCTCCCAGGCCACCCCAGACCCCATCTTTTTCACAATTCTTTCTTTTTTGGAGTAGCACCTTAGCACCAGCAGTCTGTATGGTTGAAGGAAGCTCTGAATCTATTCACCGACTGGACCCCTCTCCCCATCAACGCCTTGGCAAAGGCACTTTTCTGGGTTAGGCCCCCACTGTGAGCTGGCACAGTGCTCCACTGTATGGAGGGAGTTTGGCAGACAGCTGCCGGTTCCTGGGAACAGAACAATCTGACACGGTAGTCATATTCAGAGGGTAAAAAAAAGGGATGCTGCTGCCCTCTTGTGGACAAACAGAGAATCGCGTTACCACATTCATGGAACTGGAGGGTGGCTAGCTGTGATAGGACTCACCAACCACGTTGACCTAATAGCACTCCCATCACCGTATGATCACTTAAGGCCAGTAATTCTCGTTTCTTCTCTAGAAAGGCTTTAAAAATGAGACGACACCATCAAAATAAGTGTATTGAAATATATGTGAGGATTTTAATTTCAAAGATATTTCCTCCACTTTTCAGTAGGATTATTTGCGACAGATGGATAGTGCCAGTATACGGCTAACAGTGTCCCAGCAGCTGGAGGCGGTTTGAAATGCTGCACAGTCGTGTATCTTTGTGAATCCACGGTGAGGTCTGTGTTCATGTTCAGCAGCTGTTCGTGGTACGCTGAGTGCGGACTGGGGCAGCTTCAAGGCACATGGAAGTGAAGCTAAATGCACAGTAAGGGTCGGCACAGGGCTGGAGGGGCTCTGCTACAGTAGACGTGGAGGCTGCAGCTTTTGCCGCCATTTATGTATGAATTCCTTCCTCCGGCCCCCACGCACCCTGAAACCAAGCAGGGGAGTGTCTCTGAGTATTCCGAGAAGCTGAGATCTCCAAGGGTCCAAGAGAAATGAAGCAGGATTATTAATGGTCTGAATGAGCTGGGGTGTGGGTGTATCTGTCGGTATGCCAGGGGAGAGCGGGCGTGTCTCTGGTGATCTCAGTGGAGGGAGGACGTTTCTCTTGTGGTCCCAAGGAAGGGGGTGTGTCTCTCTTGCGGTTCCGGGGAAGATGGAGAGTGGCTTTTAGTTCTCTGGGAAATGGCCAAGGGAATCCCAAGACAATGGAGGTGTGTCCTCCCAGTTCCTCTCCAGCAGAAAAGACTGTGTGGACGGTAGAAGGAGCATATCACACCTGGCCTGGTCTTCAGGGGCTGTAGGTGTCCTGGGACGGCAAGAACAGGCTGTATGACGGCAGTCTGCCAAAATTTGCACACTGGTGACTGATGAGGGACCAGGGTCAAAGAATGAACTCTGTGCCAATGAGGTCACATGCAGAGAACCGCTCCTAAACTTCTTATTTCGGAGTACTGTTTGTTCTCCCTTTTTATTTACTAATTTATTTTATGTTAAAAAGTAATTATGATTTCATTATTTTGTTACGATGCTTTTTTGATGCTTTCTCATATCAAGTGCTTTGAAGGGAAAAGATTTCTGTGAGTGCGCAGATCACCACAGACTTTTAAAGACGAACTCTGTATGAACACATATTAATAAAAAGATCACCATACAACCCGAGGACTGGCAGCCTGTCTTTCTGTCTGTCTGCATGTGTGTCCGTCTCAGTCCAGAGTAGAGTCAGTGGCGTCTGCATAAAAATTGAGAATTTATATTGGGGTGGCCAACAGGCCACATTATTTTGGGGGGTGACCAGGGGGTTGTGGTTTGTCCCACTGTCGTAAGAAAAACGAGAGAATTAAAAATAATGTGGCGAAAATAATCCGCTAATCAGCCCGCGGAACAAAAGAACGGGGAGGGGGGTGGATCAGATCGATTGGTCAGATTTGGTGATGTGGGTGTTAAAAGGGATGGCCAGCAGGGGGCGTAAGATTCTAATAACGGGTCCCATCCTTGAATGGCAAACGCTGATTTTCTAACTTTTTGGTAAAACTTTACTTGATGGGGCACAAATACTTAGTAATAACTACTTAAGTGCAAATCATGAACAAATATGGTTGCTACTTGAGATAAAAGATGCGTCATGATTCATTAATGATGAAGAAACATGAGATCAGCATTTCACTTGTGTTATTCATGACTTGTTTCTTCAGTAGTTCCTTCAGTAATTCACAGAGGTTTACAGAATTAGATGTAGTAACAAATATAGTAACCGCTTGGGATAAAAGTTGGGTCATGATTAATTAATGATGAACAAACATGAGATCAGTATCACGTGTTATGGCTTCTTCCTTCAGGAGTTCCTTCAGTAGTTCTGAGGTTTACAAAATTAACAAATATACCTACTGCTTGAGATAAAATGTGTCACAATTCATTAATGATGAATTAGCAGGAGAGAGAGAGAGGTAAGGAGCATGTGGTAATTACAGCATGGTGCTGCACCCAACACACCACCTCAGGGATGAGAACCTGAGTGCAGCCATGCAGCAGGTGATACCAATCCTGCCACCAACCCCCAAATCTCCCCTGTAAGTTGGAGGACCTCCTTGCAGGGCTGGATGTAGGTTAAACGTCATACCCAGGACAAAGCAATTGCAGGTTAAGGGCCTTGATGAAGGGCCCAATGGAGTAGGAGCACTCCTGCTGTTCATGGGATTCAAACTGGAAACTGTCTGATTGTTGGCACAGATCCCCAGCCTCAGAGCCACCACTCTGCCTCATATTACATCTGACATGAAATTAACATGAGATCAGCATGTATCTAAGACTTAGCTTGTGTGTTAACTAATACATAAGTAATAGTTTAGTACTACAGTATATTACAGTGGAAACCGCTTGAACTGATCATGGTTATAGTGATCAAATGCTTACTGTATATGTATGAAAAAGCTTGGGACAGAATCAGTACTGTACAAATACTGTTTAAATAATTCACTCATAGTAATCACGTGGTTCATTTACAGTGTTCATTTTGGGGTTCTTAATACATGACAACATATGGAGAAAAGTAAAACGACGGTAATTCTTTTTTAAACTTTACTTTGATAGCCCTATTTGCGTTGCAGTCTGCATCTGGCTAGCTAGGCTACCTGATGCTGATGTCGCGTGCACAGAAAACCTGACGGGAAAAAGAAAAGTCGTTTTCTGACAATGACAAATATAGACTCATCAAAGCTTATGATAAACTGCCAAAAAAACGAGCCACTGGGATGCAGCAGGGAAACTACAATAAGCTGCATTTTATGTACAGTACTATACTGTATTATAGCATATTTCAATTATACACTGCTCAGTAATTTAATTTGTACAGTATTGTTATTTTAAAAGTGTTTGAACCAGATGTACTGTATTTTGAGAGTCAATAAAATTCAGTAAATAGCGACGCTGTCCATTTTATCACCTTATATGCATGTCATAGATATACAAATGTCAATTAGATGGTAATCCGCCTGAGACAAAGAAGAAAATCTGTTAAACTGATAAATTTCACCGACACACGTGATCACTATATGCGGTTTCCATTGTATTTCTGCCCCGTCATGTAAAGTGTTACCACATTTTTTATAAAGTCAAAATCGTACAAACAAAAAACGACCACAAAGCCTCCTACCCTTATAGGGTAAATATTACAGTTGATCCAGCGGTGGCTGTGTTCTGTCGAAAAATACTACCTATTGAGACGTGCTATAGAGCCTTTCTGCGCATGTGCAGTTCCACCGTTTTGGGATTAGGGTTAGGTTTTAGGGGTTAGGGTTAGGGTTAGGGTAAGTGTTTTAGGGGTTTTGGGGGGTTAGGGTTAGGGTTAGGGTAAGAGTTAGGGTTAGGGCTATCTATTAGCACTACGGTAGCATTTTTCGACAAGGCAGCATATTTCGACAGAACAGCTGCTCTAAAACTATAAGGGAAGGTCCTCCTCATCTAAAACATCACGAAAAACCTGGTTTAATATATTGTTGTATTTACATTGCTATTACAAATAACGTATTAGAACGTGTTAAACTTCATGGCCAGTTCATTCAGAATCAGCAGTAACTTCTCGCAAGTCGCTTAATGTGTTTTTTTTCTCATACATTACATTCCCATAGAAGCATGAACCAACAAAACCCACTGAAGAGCAGCTTCACTTGACTTCAACGGCACTTCTGATTGCGGTGCAGCAAAGCTAGACGTTTATTGGACAAATGCTTCAAAACGTCATTTCCACGCAAGCTCAGCGTCTCTTGTAGTAAATGAAGCAGTGGGCTGGCCAGGGCGACGGGCTGCTGCATGCTGATTGGAGAATCTGTCAAAGGGGCTGCACCTCTTTTTGATTGACAGCGCATTGAAATTATACTTCGCTACCGGACCGTTTCAAGTACATTTCCATGCGGATTGTCAGCAAGTCTATCTAAGTCTTGCATTCTCAGTTTTATATATCATACTGTAAATAAAAACGTAAATATTTTGTCCTTGAGCTTGATTCGTTGATTCGTTCGTGTATCGTTCTCTTCCGTATTATTTTTCCTGCTGGCGCTGAGGTTGTCTTCTGTCTGTGCCATGCGAGCCTCTCCTTATTTGACAGTGACATCTACAGTATAAAGACAACGTGAAATACCTTAAAATGAAATGCCTTAAATGTCATAAAATGTGGCTTTAAGAAGTATTTAAATGTCTTTAAAAGAGACAGTAAATATTAATCGCAACGTTGTAAAATATGTGATAACAAAGGTACTGCCATTCAGCAGAACAGGTATTGTGGTATAAAATGAAACTGGTGCTGAATGACAAACGCGATACTGAAGGACGGATTTTATACATAATAATATTTAGCACGCAGTACCTTGACCCCCTATATAACGTGATGACCTTTACCTATTAAGTTTATATACTAACTTTTCATATTCAATATGGTATTTAATAACATGATAACATTAAAATTATGTTTTCTGTGTTTAAATAAAGGACATGTGTTTTTGTTCCAATGGTTACTAAAAGGTAGAAACATAAAATCATCAAATATTTGAGATTTACCCACCTGGGCACATATAGCATTTTACCTTTGTTATATACTGAATGACTTAATAATTCCTTAATTTAATATTGTGCAACAGAAATATGTCTGGATCAAAAAAATGAGTTGAGTTATTTAATATTATGTGTATGTATACAGATCTTCTTCTGTTACATGAATGGGCTTGGGACAACAAATTTACGCGTTTACGTGGGGGGGTACCGGCCAGGTCCCTTGGTCACCTGCTGCAACTGAGATGAACTGTGGCCCTTGTGAAATATCCTCAAGATATACAGTATGAACTTTTATGGCCTTCTCATAAAATTTAAGAAATTTAAATTGGACATTGTAAGTGAGACTGATCTGCTAACCAGTTAACGGACATATATTCTTTGGTTTCGGTTAATAATGCAATGGAACGAAATTTCAACTAACAGATAAATAAGATACACAGTTTACACACCCTCCACGCAAAGGGGCCCATGGACCCTCCGTTGTCCACTGCCCAATGTTCAATCCCAAATTACTGTACACCTTTTGCACTGCCTATAGTTCCGCCAGTGATGCCCCCCTTTAGATCCACTAGGTGGAGCCTCGGTCTGTGTGAATTTAATCCCGCAGCTCCGTATGAGTGTGTGCGGGCAGCTGCGCATTTATATGGTACACAGAGCACACAGAACCATATCAGTCAGATTAACTCGATTACATATTTCCTGATGTGGATTTTTGTGTGATTTGTAGCCTGATGAACAATAAATTCACGTACAGATTTCACAGTAAGAAAGTGCATTTCTGTCATTTAATTTGTGCGGACTGTCAACGTTTTAATGTCACCGCCAGCTGCGGTGTTCAGAATTATTTGCAAAATTATTTGGCTAGATTCGGGTCATTGTTGGTAGCTCCGTTTTACGTCTGTTGTAAGTCTGAAATAAAACCTAAAGAAACATTCTGCACATTATCTACAGTATATACCTACCTACTTCCTTATTTAGGAACCCTGCCGTTGATGTCCGAGACGGTTTGAAAAAGATTTCATTCGATTTGGTATATAGGCCTATTGTGTATTCTAGTGTTTCATATTTGTATTTAATACATCCTTGCCCAAAGCAAGAAGCTTATCTTTCGGTTCGGTTTTAAACATATTTCGCCTATGGAGATATACCACAATCAGAGATGCAACAGGAGAAGTTCTAGTTTTTGTCTTTTAACTTCTTGTGGTAATAAACACGATGTAATATCCCAGTTCATCATGATGTCATACAAAGTTGGAACATATATTTCTGATATTCTATTGCGGTTATTGGCATTTATTTTCTAGGCTATGTGTTGGCGGAGCAACTTAACCTGGCGTCTCTCAATTTTGGGTCGGAAAGAGCAGTTATTGGTAACTTGGTAACCACTTGACGGGGCACAAATATTTAGTAATAACTCAGTCACTACTAAAGTACAAATCATGAACAGATCATGAACAAATGAAGTAAATGGGCTACTTCAGAAAATACGTCATAATTCATTAATGACGAACAAACATGAGATCAATATTTCATTTGTTATTTATTACATGATCTTTCTGTGGTTCCTTTTTAGTTCCTTAAGAAATTCACAAAGGTTTACAAAATTAACAGGTAGGCTATAGTAAGAAATATAGTAATTGCTTGAGATTAAACATGCGTCATAATTCATTCATGGTGAATTAACATGAGATCAGTATGTAACTAAGACTTAGTTTGTGGTTAATTAATGCATAAGTAATATTATAATGCTATGATATTTGTGCCCCGTCAAGTAAACTGTTACCTATAGTTACTGTAGGACAAGATTTGCAGTGGTGGAAAAACTTCTCAATTTTCATACTTAAGTAAAAGTAGAGATAGGCCTACCACACCAAACTGGTATCCAAGTAAAAATCATCTATAGTAAAATCGCCTTCTGCTAAAAAAAAATACCTGGTTTTAAAAGTAGGCTACTTATAGAATAAGGAAAAAGTACCATACATTCAAATCTAATGATCTTACGAAAAGCAACCGATCTTTTTAAGTTCACATAAGACAGGACTGAACATGGCATTGTAAGTTACTGTGCAGCACAAAAACTGCGTCACATATTTTAATTCACAAAATGCGGTAAAACCTGATTTTTTTTTTTACTATTATGTGGAAACCAAATGGTCGATCTACAGGGCAGATTTAATAGTGAAATAACATTTAGAATTAGAGTTTAGTGATTAATTGTCATTGTTGAAGCACCACAGCACACAGTGCACAACGAAATGTGTCCTCTGCATTTAACCCATATGTGACAATGTGACATAGCAGGGAGCAGCTAATTCAGCGCCCGGGGAGCAGTGCTTGGAGGCGGTACCTTGCTCAGGGTACCTCAGTACGTGGTGCCTTGCTGGTCGCAAGCCTGTTCGTTTAGATCGTTTCAGTAGTAGCTTTAATGCTTCTACCTTTGAATATTGACCAAATTTAAGTATCGGACTGGAATTTCGATATGTTAGCCAATATATCGTGCATCTCTTCATATTATTTGTTCGTTCTTGACAAAGAAAATAGGCTATGCTAGCATAATGAAAAATAACAACGACAATAATAATACTATTTATTTATTTATTATTATTTTTTATTATGATAAACAATCATACCGAAATCTACCATCCATACCCAAACCTAAGCAATTCTTCGTATTTTACCTAGAATTCTGCATCCCCCATCAGGTGTACGTGCTGCATGCAATGTTATTTTTTAAATCTGGTGAGTAATAACGGTCGTGCAAAATACAGAAAAGTAGTAAAGCTGCAACAACTTATGATACTCAAGTAATGTTCAAATAAAGGAAAAAAAATCGACTCGAGTAATAAGTAGTTAGTTACTTTACAGCTCTGCAGATTTGTGTGTTTGTTTCGATGCCGAAGCCCATCCAGCTAAACCCTGCATATGAACCACAGGCCGTTTACAATGAAGGCAGGAACTCACTTTCTCAAATTAGAATGCTGAAGTCAAATGAATCACAAGCATTTTAACTGAAGCTTAAACAAAATTTTGCGAATTGTGGTTTTATTCTGTTTTTATTGTTAGTCACACATATAACCAGATATAAAACAGAACATTTTAGCAGTTAGCATGACGGTTAAACACACATTAAAAAAAAGCAACAGACTTAACTGGAAATGTAAATCACCTTACCTCATGGTGATTTCCATTTCCAGTTAAGTCTCTTGCTTTTAGAAACACCCAAGTACCTCGCCATATAAAATATATGTATGTATATAAATGTATGCATTTAAGTGTTTTTGAATATAGAAATACAGAAAATTATACATGTATATGGATGTATGTAACAATCTTTGTATATAATAATGATAAAAAATGAATAAGGTGATGATGATAATGATTATAATTGTTATGATAATTATTATCATCCTCATTAATATTTATTATTCTTACTATGTTTTGCCTTGCACTGTTTTAAGTAGAGGATTTCTGATAACTTACTGAATTAATCATAAGAAATTATATTAGCATTAATCTCCTGTACGGGTGAGCAGTGACGTAACCCTTCCACAGGGCTGCCCTGCTCTTCCCGCCCCTGACGTAAGACCCACACCAGTCCCTTTCTCCCTGACATGCCTCCTGGGGATCCAAGGTACAGCTGTCACACGCACTGTGTCGGAAATGCCCGGCGAGGTCCGTCAGGAATGGACAGCCAGCCCGGCATGTCCACGGCTGAATGCGGCCTTTCTATCAATGCGAGAGGCTGCTTATATGGATAAACTACATATGAAGCTTATAAAGTTAATAATCAATCTTGCTACTGAATCTTCTGCCACATACCTATAATTCCCTATAACATATTCTATACCGGTGGTCACCAACTGGCCGACTCTGGTCTGCATGTGGATGGAACTAAAATCAAATCCAGACCGCATGACTGGTTCCCTGTGGGCTTCAATTAGCTGATGCCCAACAACCTGATGACCACTGCTCTATATTACACTATACTACACTCTACTATGCTACACTATACTATACTATACTATACTATGCTCTACCAAAGGAGGAAAAAACTGACATATTTTACCAAGAAAGGGAGTGCCTAAACCACAGAACATCAACCAGCTTGTTGCCACATGCAGGCAATAATCTGCTTTCATCCTTGTTTGCGATCAATTGAGGTCCATCCAATCAGTGCTTAGCTCACCATCATAAGGTACCAATTCATCCTCTGTGCTTCAATGTGAGCAGAGTAGTTTGAGACAAAAATGAGAGAAGCGATGAAAGTAAAGAAGGACTTATACCTATGTATGTATGTATAAAACGTTCTCTGTATAATGAAAATATCTTTTACTACATCTAGCCTTTGTTAGAAATGAAAACCGAATAGTTTCTAAAAATGAGTTGATTTTACACCAGAGGGAGACAGGATGACTATTTCAACTAACAAAATGTCTCTTTGTCCTTCCTGGTCATATTCTGATCATCTGCAGGCTGCCTCCACCCATTCCTACGAAAACCACCATCTGAAGCAGCTAAAAACAAAAGTGAGATTTCAGTTTCATTATGTCTCAATTGGAGAAGCACCGTTTAAAAACAAAAAGCCTTCAGTTTAAAATCGTTTTTGATGCCCCTTTGACAAAATTGACCCCAACTTGTCTGCAGTATCAGAGATGTGCAAAGCCAGTCAGTTATAATTAGTCAGGTCTAATTAATAACTCAGCTGCAATACAATCCAGTGAGTACAGCATCCCCTGTAATATGTGGGATAATGTTTTGGAAATCAATACCAGTTACACTATGGGGTATAATTACAGTTTAAAACTCACCCAATTTTCCACTAGATCTGCAAAATGGACACAAGCCCAGTGATGGGAACTACAAAGGTACAAACACTATTATTATTATTATTATTATTATTATTATTATTATTATTATTGAATGATACATTTCATACATTTGTGATACATTTGTGCCATAGCAGTAGCTGGAGAACACTCTAGATTTTATTCTGAAACAAAGAGAGACTCACCCAAAACAGCCAAGTAATGTAAGTTCGATGTAGCTTTATATGCATTATTCTGTTCTTCTTCAGTACATCCTGGCATAAGACAGCAGAATAGCCTCATTGATTTGAAATACTCTGCACATGTAATCTACAGTGTAAGATTTGGGTCTACAAAGTTTATAGAACGATTTACTCAAGACAAAACTACCACCAAACTGTTAACCCTTACCTGTGACAATGAAGTGAACGTGAAGTTCCTGAAATTTAAAAAAGAAAAGTAAAATTATGGTTGAAAACATGTACAATATTTTTGCCATTGTCACAAGCTACGCCGAGATAGGAGAGCCTACCTTAAACTTGTCATCAGTAGCAGAGTAAGTCAGGTTAAGACATCGTTTGAGGTAGATGCTCCCAGAGAGGACCTGTTCTACCTCAGCGGTCAAGTTACTTAAAAAGGGGCCATATTCAATACACAACAGAGGGATTTTCTGTAAGACAACAGGAAGGCGACAGTGGTCTAGTATGACAGATTTACAAGGACTAAACTGTCTGATTGACTGATTCACTTCTAACTGAATCTTCCTATTTGTGGAAAAAGGATTGTTTGAATTTTGTGCCTCAGGTTCACATGATTTTCAACGTGCCTGTGTTTCTTTAACACGTGACTGTACAGTAATTCTTCACTCATTATTGTGTCCTGCATTAATGGTGTTATCTCAGCACATACCTCACTGACCCATTCCTCACTGTGAAGTTTATCCGTGGTCCAGTTTGTGTCGGCTGAATATTTATACATCCCATTAGCATATATATCTTCACAGCAAATATATACGTCTCTCTGTGTCACTGTACAGCCTGCAGAACATAAAAGATCAAAGTCAGATGTAAGTAACAGCTGAAACAAATACGTTCACACTGGGAGTAGATCTGTATCACGGCCCCCCTGAGCCTCACCCCCCGAGCCTCACCTACACAGCATTAGCAATAGCCCCACTCGGCAGCCATTTCCTGGTTCCTCGCAACAACAGAAAAATTACACCAAAAAGCACCAAGATTTAAGAAAAAAAAAAGATTCTAAAGCTAGATATGAATCACTTTTAAAACCAAAACAACAACAAAAGCCACAACACAACCACATAGCTATAAACAGAGCATTACTACATACTTCCTGAAAACAAGATGCAAATCACTTTCATTTTTTACATCTAGAGCCAGGAGTATTTTCAGTTATTTTTCGGACGTCTGAAACATTTACATAGGCATTGATTAGATTCTAAATAGTAAATTCCTAGACAAATGGTAGCCTTGTACAGAAACACACAATGCACTGAGTAAATTAGAGAAGTTAAACTGTGTACGTAGTAATTTCACTGGTTACTCTAAGAAAACACCTTCATTCAAAATGATTGTTTTGGTGACTTGTATTTGCAACGATGCAAATTTTTTTTCTGTAGCTTCACATTGTGGGCAACTTCTTACTTTCTGTCTTCTGAGTAGTTTGTAGCAACTCAGTTTTAAAAAAAAGCTTTTAACGCAACTTATTTCTTTCACTGTTACTTCTCAACTTCACACGTAATAATTCCCAAAGAGAGGAACAAATATTTGCGTTTCCTTACCGTACACTTTGATGAATATCAGCATAAAAATGATACGATCAGCAAGCACAGCCATGACAAAAACTTACTTTTACTTTTCAGCTTTTTTTCGGCATGCCAGTGCAGAGATACCGATTAAAGAAATCACACGACAATGTGACGTCACATGCGATTTCTCTCAACGAGTCAGGCTTTGGGACGTCTCCTAGGCCCAAATGGTCAACTGAAGTTATTAGTAGGAAGATGTGCTGCAAGACTCAGGGAAATGTAGTGTTTCCTGAAAGTGGTTAATGTTTAATCTAGCTATATGCTTACTATATTCCTTTGGTGTCTGCCTGTCTGTTTCTTTTTAGTAGTCTGGATGAGCTACAGTACCAGTCAGAGAATGGTTTATCTGTACCATTTTCTACATTTTAGAATAATTATCAAGATGGCAAAACTATAAAATAACATATATGGAATTATGCACTGACCAAAAAAGTATTAAACAAAAAATATTGTTTGGAGGGAAGGGCAGCTCGGTGGGTTGGGACTCATGAGGTTGCTGGTTCAAATCCTTAGGTCGGGAAAGTGATCGCACCATTGGGCCCCTGAGTGAGGCCCTTAGCCCCATTCGCTCCAGGGGCTGGCTGAGGTGGCCTCCTGCGATGCTTCTCCAGCTGTCCTGAAGGAGTTCCCGCATATGCTGAGCATCCATTGGCTGCTTTTACTTCACTCTCTGGTCAAATTCCTTCAAAATTATTCTACACACTGTGTTTAGGTCAGGTGGGCAGGTCATGTGACGTGACACTGTCACTCTCTTTTGTAGGCAGTTTGGCGTGTCCAAACTCTTGACTGGTACTGTACATGGCCTTATCTCTATAAATGTATAAACGTACATGACATTAAGCATTATTTCGCTCAGTGAGTCAGGGATTGGGAGTGAGTCTTTTGGGCCCGAACCATCAGTTGGAGTTATTAGGTGGAAATGTAGTGATTCTGCCACATTTCCTTTAATAAGCTTGATGTTTAACCTAGCTAAAAGCTTACTATACTGTCATGGCTTATAGTACACCAGAGCTATTACACTCAACCATGAGCTTATCTCTCTAAACAGAGTTATGACCTGACTGTAAAAGGATGTTTTTGTACGTGGAGGAAGAGACTTTAAACCCAAGCTTGATGGAATCATCAGACACGGAGTTGAAAAGATAAA